GATACCTGGAAAAGATTCATAGACCACTTATGTTTGTAACTTAGACTTGCCCCTGTTTGGGGGGGGATTTGTAGAAATTAGTTGCTATGGATTGCTTTACTCACGTGTGATGCAGCCCATTTCTTTTTTGCTTTTATTTGGTTTCTGTTGTTGAAAACAGTGAAGTTTAGCTTAAATCATTGGCATTTACTTTTCCTAATTAAAATTACATGTAACATAGGATGCAACAAAGTGGTATAATAGATACAAAACACATATAGGATCTTCTTGGTAAGTAGTAAGATTTTACTAATTTTATTTACTTATTCTGATATTTCAAGATGATTTAGTAACTTGCCAACAAGCAGATTGTGTAAACCCTACATACTCTGAAATCTTTCTTAATATGATTAGTTTTTTTTGGAACATAAGTACCTTGCTCCTTTTTTTCCTGTAAAGCATTGGGGCAGGAGTTTGTTGTTGTCGTTGTTTTGATTTTTAAATAGTTGTAATTTTGTCAGTTTTTCTCTGAGATTCTAGGAAAAATAACTCCTAGAAATGTATAGTTTTGGAGCTTAAGCAATATGCTTATATATATTTTCTTGATCTTATTTATCTTCCCCAGCAATATCTGCTGTTTCAAGTGACTGTATGTTTATATTTTCTCTGATATTTTAAAAAATCTTTATAGTTTTCCTTTTTTAATTTTTAATTCAGTAACCACTGGCCATGTTGTCATTGTGTTTTTAAGGTTTACTGGTGAAATGTGCTTTGTGGTTTTAAGACCCCCTTAACTCTGCTTTTTAGGAGTGTTGTGACTTTCTTAGAAATGTTAGAATGAATATTAAAGATAATTTTATAAATGGGAAATGTTAAGGCCTAGAGCTTTGACTTTTCCTAGTTAAGTTTGAAGGAGAGTACTAAAACTCTGATTTCTTAGCATAAATCCTTAAGTATACTCATTGCAATGTTTATAACCTTCTTTTTTTTTTTATTAGATAAACTAGTTAACAGAGTAATGCTTAAGAAACTACTTAAAGTAATTGATTTTCCAAAAGCGTGAGTGGATTTTTGTAGATCGGTATTTATTTGTTGTTGGTTCCTTATGTAGGATTTGACTGTGAAGCTAGCAGCAATGACCATTTATTGTGGTCACAATCAGATTGTATACTAAGCCTACCTGAGCTGTTATGTAATATGAGTGACTTTTTCCTTAGAATTATTTTATTATTATAACACCCACTTAAAAGATGAAGAACCAGTGTGTAGAATTGTTAAGTAATTAGCCCAGACATCGGTGAAATAGTGATGAGAATAAGGCTAAGCTGGGAATTGAAACAAGATTAAGTTCTTACACTCTGTTCTTAAGCATCATACTATGTGGAACTGCTGGATAAAGGAGTAGAACATGTGTCTAAATCAATCTGTGTAGCCCCTAACATTTAATAAACTGTGATTAAATGCAAATGTCGGCCACAGTAGTTGACCAATATGTATTTGTTTAAAAAGGTGAATAAAATAAAAATGCAAACATTGATTTGTAATTCTATTAATGATTCCTGGGTATGTTGTGGCTGTGTTCGAAAAAAAAATTTCCTCAGTTTCTCTAATAGTGCCATGTAGTAATTATTTTTGCAAATTCTTTTGTTGAACTATAGTTTTGAAACCCCCCACTGGGTTTATTAATTTTGATTAATAAAGAGATCTTTATAACCTACTCATTAGTGGTTTCCTCCAGTATTGGGTTAACCCCTGAATTTCCAGTGGGTTTTTCTCAGCGATGCTTGCTGTGGGGCAGGTGTTTATATAGCAGGAGACTCATAAAAATTACTAACTAAAGCTGCCAGTGTACTTAACTATACTTTAAATGCCTGCGTATATTGCATCCTAGTTCTGAAGTTTAAGTTAAGCTGGTTAAGAACTTTACATAAAAAAACAGGAAAATATCAGACATGAGAAAGTTCCTTTAGTGACTTTTTCTAACAACCTGCATGTTTCCAGTCAAGAGAAATTGTAAAAATCTTATGACAGGCAAGCTTGTAGAAGTTTTTCCTTAAGTCTAGTTTCTTTTAACATTTGAATTCTATGGTTAAACTAACTCCCATGACTGTGACAGGTTTCTTTGTCAGACTCTGCAAACTGGCAGCTATTTTATTAAAATAGTTATAAATGGCTTGTAATTGTTACTTTCTTAGTCTATTTTTAATCTGTAACACATCTCGATGGAAAAGGGGGTGGTCATTACTCTTCAGTTTTTTTCTGGGCATGTCTGGAATAGCCATGTAATAACTGTAATAACTGAGAAGCTAAAATTTAAGGACAGAATTTGTAGTGCCTCTTAATTCTCAATTTTTACTGGGTCTAGAAGTAATTACTACTTTGTTCATATAGTTAATTGTTTCTGAATGATTATTACATGATGAATCAGATGTAAATTTTCTGTTCAAATGCTTACTTTCTAATAGTTACTCATAGAGATCTATCATCTATTTATCTATGTATATAAATTCAACTATATGTCCTTGGTAAAAAGAGTGCAAGAGAAAGAGTTGGGGGAGAACTCCTTGGCTAGGGTGGGTGATTTCCATTTAATGGGAATAAACAAAGACTTGTGAGTAATATGAGAAGGGAAACAGACATAGCCATGCCCACATTGGTCTCCATTCCTGTTGTGCTTTAGTTTAGTAGGAGTAACCAGTTCTTGAATGCATTTATTTCAAGAACTAGCTCTTTTCCAATGCTGGACAAAAGTCTTAATGTTTTAGACTAGGTGTAATTTCCGATGTACCATGCTGAAAACTGCCATTTGGCATAGTTAACTAAAGAACAGTTTTAGCTTTACTGAGGTCACTAAACAGTTTTGCTTGGTAATGTTTGCTTGGAGTTTATATCTCTTAATGGTTTCTACTTAAAACCAAATGCAGTCCTTTTCATTACATAAAGGATCTGGACAAATGGCTTATTTTGGTTATTTAATGATAGTAAATAGTTTTTCCTTTTTGAATAAAAGTGTTTAATTAAAGGTTATAATCTTCCTCTGAAGTCAGTAGATAATTTATGAACCAGTATAATGTTTCTTTGAACTTAACAAAGCAAGACATTAGCCTGAGTGCAAATTAGCAATCTCAGAATGACCACAAGTGTCAGTGTTTGCCTGTCTTATTTTTCTCCTCCAGTTTTTACCTAATTGTACAGCAGATACTTGTGTTGTTTAAGAATTTCTTTTGACTTGAAAGCAAAGCTAAATGTAAATGTCTCTTTCAGATCCAGTAATAGATACTTTTAGGTATTTTAATTCATGTAAACTGTTAATAAGTATTTAAAATCAGCAGTGATTTGGCAAATACTTTATCGTTCTTTCATATTCTTTGGTTTCTCTTTATCATATCTATTTCAGTTAGGAATATTTTTGCTTAGAGATGTGAGTCTCAGTGGGGATAGTACTGCTTTTTTAAAATTATTATTATTTTTTTAAGACAGTTTCAGTATGTCACCATCTGTAGAGTTCTCTGCTGTCACAGCTCACAGCAACCTCAAACTCTTGGTCTCAAGCGATTCTCTTGCCTCAGCCTCCCAAGTAGCCCAGCTATTTTTATTTTGGTGGTGCAGCTGTCATTGTTGTTTTAGCTGGCCCAGTCCATTTCAAACCGGCCAGCCTAGGTGTATGTGACTGACGCCCTACCCACTGAGCTATGGATGGGTAGGGCTTTTTAAGAAGTATTCTACAGGCTGGGCACCTGTACCTCAGTGATTGGAGCACCAGCCCTGTGCACCAGAGATGGCAGGTTTGAACCTGGCTGGGGGCCTACTTAACAAAAATAAAGAAGTATTCTAGAGGTCTGTGAGGGTGTTTCTGTTTACCAGAGTGACAGCAGAGCGGTGAATGAGTGGGGCTAGGGTAGGTAGTAGTAGTCCTGTAGTTTGTGAGCAGCCTTTGTGAACAGTACAGACTAGTTCAGTGTTCTGCAGGATTTCTGACTTTCCCATTAGATACCTGTGTATGTGAACAACATTTATAATTAAGTGATTCTAAAAGATAATTGGAATATAATTTATATTTTGCAGTTTTAACATGCATTAAACTTTTTTAGGAATGTTAACTATAGTATACATTGAGAGAAGCTTATCGTTTATTTATTTATTTATTTATTTATTTTTGAGACAGAGCCTCAAGCTGTCCCCCTGGGCAGAGTGCCGTGGCATTACAGCTCACAGCAACCTCCAACTCTGGGGCTCAAGCGAGTCTCCTGCCTCTTCCTCCCAAGTAGCTGGGACCACAGGCGCCCGCCACAACGCCCGGCTATTTTTTGGTTGCAGCTGTCGTTGTTTGGCGGGTCCGGGCTGGGGATTCGAAACCCGCCACCTTAGGTGTACGTGGCTGGCGCCTTAGCCGGTTGAGCTATAGGCGCCGAGCCCGTCTATTTATTTATTTTTTTAAAAAGTTTTCTTTTGAGACAGAGTCTCACTTTGTCATCCTTGGTAGAGTGCTGTGGCATCACAGCTCAGCATCCTCAAACTCTTGGGGCTCAAGTGATTCTCTGGCTTCAGCTTCCCTAGTAGACTATAGGCACTTGTCACAGTGCCTGGCTATTTTTAGAGATGAAGACTTGCTCTTCTCTTAGAGGCACAGATTATATTACCTTTGCATTTAATTTCAAGTAGTTGGAGGGGTCAGTGTAAAATATCTTTTATATTAAGGGGGTGTATTAAATTTGAAAGGGCTATGATAGCCACTGAGTTAGCATCCTTGAATAAATTATTTCACACACTTTATTCTTCACTCCCTATAAACCCTACATACTATTAGTATTTGAAATTTTTAACATTGTTAATTTATTTTAAAGTGTGACAGACAATTTGTAAATTCAGGTAGATGTAAAACATTGAAACTTACTTAATGCTAAAACTGCACAAAGAAGCGTAGTTACCCCAAAATTAGTTATTAGTATCAGAAAATATTAATTTAATAACTGTAGTAGATAAGAGGTATTAAAGTAAAATAATGTTTTCCAAGGACTTTTTTTTTACATGAACCCTCCACCAATTTCCGTGTTATCCTTGAGCAGGGGCTATGCTGATCTTCTGTATTGTTCCAATTTTAATATATGTGCTGTCAAAACAAGCATATCAGAGGGCTTTTTTGAAGGAAGAAGTAGTATTAAGTCTACATGATCCTAAATTCATATAGCTGTCTTCAGTATGATTGTTTACGGTCTGATTGGAAAATAGGGGCTTTAGTATAAACAAACTTTGCAAAGCAGAAATGAGGCATGCAAGTTTATAGGATAATGGACAGATAATGTTTGATTTGGGGTGTTTTATCCCCCTCCCCCATAAGCTCACAACTTCTTTGATTGTGTTAGGGGTTCACTTACATTCAGCAAAGACATTGAGCAATTTTTTTTTTTTTTTAGTCAGAGTCTCACTATGTCACAGCTCACAGCAACTTCAAACTCTAGGGCTTAAGCGATTCTCTTGCCTCAGCCTCCCGAGTAGCTGGGACTATAGGCGCCCATCACAACACCCAGCTATTTTTTGATTGCAGTTGTCATTGTTGTTTAGCAGGCCTGGGCTGGGCTTGAACCTGCCAGCCTTGGTGTATGTGGCCAGCTGCCTACTCACTGAGCTATGGGCGCCAAGCAACATGGAGCAATTTTTATATGTAGGCTTCAGGAGAATGTAAGATTCAAACTTAAGTTCCTTTCTTTCAAGAAATTGATGGATACTTAGATCACCATGAAGCTAATAAAGTAACTGGAAATAAATGTTATATAGTTATTTAATTTATTTTCTTCATGTACAAATTCTTGTGAAATTCCTTATGATGGTGTCACTTGATTTTACTGACTTTGATACTTTTGGTCTTTCTGCCAAAGAAAATTAGTATTACATTTTTATCTTTTTTATTACTTACGAAGTTCCAATATTTCTGAAATCAGGTAAAGATCTCACAGAAAATACAGTTTCTGAGCTATAGTGAGCCAAAATAAAATGAAAAATTTTATCTTTTTTTCTGTTTATATCTTCCATTTATCTCCTTGTTGCTAATTAACATTATGCCTTTTTCATTAATTTTCTCATAGTTGACTTTTAAAATCTACATTTCCTTTTTGACTTTTCACAGGATTTATATTTAATAGTAATTCCAGAATTTATAATGTTCTAGAAAACGGTAAAGTTGACTATTCTGTTTGTGCATAGTGTGTAGGTATGTGCTTGTGCACATACAGATAATTCATATAGTTAAGATTCCCAATTTATTGTATCATGTTAAATGTTTTCTTTTAAAGCTTGTCGTATTGTTATTTCTTTTTTCGACCTATATTGCTAGTAACTGTTATTCTTTTTTTTTTTTTTTTTTTTTTTTTTGGCCGGGGCTGAGTTTGAACCCGCCACCTCTGGCATATGGGGCCAGCACCCCACTCCTTTGAGCCACAGGCGCCGCCCAGTAACTGTTATTCTGTGATTTCCCAAACATTCAGATTTACGCCAGATTTCCAAATACATATCCTTTGACCGAAGTAGTTCGGCAGAGAGGGGAATGTGTTTTTATTAACAAAGGACAAAAGAAAAGCAAGTTTATAGGGCTATATATAGCATTATACCATCTTTGAAGAAACCTATATTAGATTATGTCTTCAAACTGGATCAGTTAATTGGACATTGAAGTTGTATAATAGCATTGTTCTTAGTGAAAAGATATTGTTTACATTAGAAAAATGGAGTTGCAGAACAGAATTGGACCTCTGAGGTCATCTAAAAATCGATTTTTCTCATTTATGGATGAAGTAACTAAGACCCTAGGACAGTGGTTCTCAACCTTCCTAATGCCACAACCCTTTAATGCAGTTCCTGTGGGTCGCAATCCACAGTTTGAGAACCGCTGCCCTAGGAGGTTGTGGTTTTCTCAATGTTCCACACTTAATGTGGCAACTCCAAAGCTAGAATTTAAATCTCCAGACACTGCCTCTAGTGTCTAGCAGGTTTTCTCTTTTAGTTCGTGGACCCATGAGTTACACAAATGATTCCTATGGACTATCTAGCTAACTCATGATCTCTGTCAATATAAAAACAATTCTGCCAGTTTTAAGTGAAGAAAGATAGTGCTTCTATTAGTTCTCAGAGAGAGGTGTGAAAGAATTGTTCACTTGTGGGCAGCACCTGTGGCTCAAGGAGTAGGGTGCCAGCCCCATAGACCGGAGGTGGCGGGCTCAAACCCCGCCCTGGCCAAAAACTGCAACAAGAATTGTTCACTTGTGCCAGAAGATGTGAAATCATTATAGACTTTGATATAAAAGGAGATCAGTGCACGTGCTTAGAATTGTTGCTAATTGCAGTTCTGTGCCAAACCATTTCAATTACATTCACATGGATGTCATTTTTTAATCACTAGATAAATAAATAGGAAAAAAGAACATTTTTCCAACATGCAAGCATACTTCCTTTAAAGAGTTTGTGGCCTTCCTCACTCTCTTTTTCTCTTATGATTCAAATTTTATTTGCTGTATTATTGTGGGTTTTGTATAGAAACAGAATCAACAGAATCTGATGTAATCTTATGTAATCTATGTATACACCTAGATTTTTTTTATCTATGTATATACTTAAGGAGATCTAGAATATTAGTTACTAGTATTTATTAGTATGTAGTATGTAATAAATACTAGTATTAGTAGAGTATGTATAGTATATATAAAGTGATTTATTATAAAGAATTCGCTTATATAGTTATAGAGCAAGCTGAGAGCCTATTCTCTCTTATTCTGCCTTTTATTCAAATGTGCAGTAAATTAGATGAGGCCTACCCGTATTAGAGAGGGTGATCTACTTTTCTACTTTATTCAGTCTGCTGATTCAAATGTTTGTCTCATCCAGAAACACCCCACAGTCACACCCAGAATGTTTAACCAAATATCTGGGCACCCTATGGCCCAGTTAAGTTGACAAACAAAATTAATTATGGTACTTGTCTTCATTCATCTTATTTCCAGCAAGAAGAATGCACACTTGACTTAGTTACACATATGAAAAGTGTCTTAGAATGCTAAACATTTTAGAATGTGTTTAGTGAATCTATGTTGATAAGGTTTTCATGATCCCCCTAATTCTTCTGGTATTTATCGAAATTTATTCACACATCTCTCTTTTTGTGAGATTCATTTACTTTTGTACCAGTTTGATTTTCAATCAAGAAAGTGTTCTAAGAAATGATGAATGGAAAAATGGTATTAATTTAGGTTTTTAATCAGCGAATATCTTGCTTCTTTGTAATGCTGTTCATTAGTACTGTATATTCCAATTTTGTCTGTGACTGTAAAGAAAATGAATATTATATTTCCAGGTCAAAGTATATTTGATTTGGGCATGAGTGGAATTTTTCTTTTCATTGAGATTAAAATATTTATTTTAGTGTACACTTTTTGTATTTTAGGTAACAGAAACTCAAGTCTGCTTAAATAAGAAAAAGAAATACGTTATGGTGTTTTAGGAGTATTTTACAGGACCAAAAACTGAGAAGTGTAAATTTGCCTTTAAAACAACACAGAAATCGGAAAGCTATCAGGCTTTCTCTGTTTCCATCTGGTGCCACATGGTACTTGTAACTTTTTCTGCATCTGTACATAAGCTTTTGTGGCCCTTTGTGTACACTGTCATCCTCATAGCTAGCTAGGCTTCATGCAACTGTAGTTGGGTTTGCTCAGCGTATCTTAATATGGATTTTAAACTCCCAGGGAAAGAAAATCGGATTGGGTCAGCCTAGTTCCTATATTTGTCCCTTGTGGACAGAATCAAGTACTTCTGAGAAAAGGGGACATTATAATCTGAGCAGATATTCCCACAGAGTCTACTCTGGGGAATTTATAATTGAACTTCACTCATTCTTTTAAGAATACTTAGTGTTGGCTTAGTGCCCATTGCTCAGTGGTTAGGGTACCAGCCACTTGCACCAGGGCTGGTGGGTTCGCACCCGATCAGGACATGCTAAACACCAATAACAACAATTAAAAAACCATCCAGACGTGGCAGGCTGAGGCAAGAGAATTGCTTGAATCCAAGAGTTTGAGGTTGCTGTGACCTGTGATGGTGACACTCTGAGGGCCACATAGTAAGACTCTTGTCAAATATATATATACACACACACACACACACACACACACATAGATATATCATGCTTATTCTTTTGAGTTTTTGAAAAATTTTGGTAAGATGTATAAAATTGCCATTTTAAAGTTTACAATTCAGTGGCATTGACTATCTTCACAGTATTGTATGACCATCACTGCTGTTCATCTCCAGAACATTTTATCATTCCAGACTGAAACTATGCACACATTAACCAATAACTCCCAATTCCTGCCTACTTCTAGCCCCTTGGTAACAACTCTTCTACTTTCTGTCTCTGAATGTGACTATTTGAGATACCTCATATTGGTGGAATCAAGCTTACTTCATTTAGTATGTTTTCAGTGTTCGTATTTTAGCATATGTTAGAATTTTATTCCTTTTAGGGCTAAATGACATTCCATTATATGTATAAATCTTACTTTGCTTATCCATTTGTCAGTGTTGACATTTGGGTTGTTTCTGCTTTTTGCCTATCATGAATAATGTGGCTATGGACTTGGGTGTACAAATACCTGTTCAAATCCTTGCTTTCAGTTATACACACTCAAGCAGAATTGCTGGATCATACAGTAAATTTTTTGATGTATCCTATTGTGGTACCATTCCTACCAGCTATGCACAAGAGTTCTAATTTTTCCTTTTTTTTTTTTGTTAAATAGTCTCACTCTGTAGCCCTCTTAGCTCACAGCATCCTCAAACTCTTGGGCTTGAGCAATCCTCAGCCACCCTACTTGCTGGGATTACAGGTGCCTGCCTCAATGCCCAGCTAGTTTTTCCATTTTTAGTAGAGATGGAGTCTCACTCTTGCTCAGGCAGTCCACCCACCTCAGCTTCCCAGAGTGCTAGGATTACAGGCATAAACTGCCACTCCTGGCCTGAATTCTAATTTTTCTATATTCTCATCTATACTTGTTATTTTCTAGGTTTTGTTGCTATTTTGTTATTGTATTTTAATAATAACCATCCTATTGAGTTTGAAGTGATGTCTTGTGGTTTTTCA